GGAGATTATCGTCATCTAGGAAGATCTGATCGTCCATAGTAACGAGTACATGTGAACTCTTTCTTCCCTCTCTCTTTTTTTTAAACCATTAAAGAGAACGTCCCTAACTTTTCCATTGAACAAATGGCGGAACTAATGAAATGAGTTGAGTCAATTTCTATTTAGAACACCTGAGAAGTGCAGCAGAGAGGATGATGTTTCAACATTTCTTACTCACAAAATTAAATCTAATGTACTAAGAAGAGACTTCTCTGAATTCCAATCTCTCCACACACATCATTTCAATAAGGCGGAAATTGTTTCTTCCCAAATTAGATATTTGATCTGTACTTTTCGTTGAAAAACTGTATAAGACATTAAATCTTTCTTCTTAGAAAACTTATAGGCTGGTTGCATAAGTAAGGTTTGCCTAGAAGGAATCAGGCAGTCTAGAAGAAATCAGGTGGCCTAGAAGTAGATCAGGTAGCCTAGAAGTGGATCAGATATCCTCAACTATATTATATACTTCCATTATGCCTATATTAAGCCAATATTTGTTGTAACTATCGCTTTATAGCTCTTTGTAAATTTCAAGTTTTTCAACTCTCTACGATTTGTAGGACGAATTTTAACAATGGAAGAGATACAACATCAGTGTAAGTTGCATTCTTAAAGAGATAAAGATTGTGATGTTAAAAAAAAGTTCAAATTAAGTGATCTAACTAAATTTAAATTTAATTTTTTGTACATTTAAATTTTTGCACTTTTTTTAAATTCTATTCCTTCTAGAAACAATTATAAATTTAGTGGCACACGTCCAAAATATTGTCTTTTTTCTATCGTTTTTTTAAAATTATTCCGACTTGATAACTTTTTTTTTCTCCTCCATTTTGTGCAAACCATACTGATAAGGCCTACCTGGTATTTTGATTACGTAAGTCACCTCCGTGGTGTGTCGCATCGACATAACACCTTTTATATTGATGTGAGGTGACAATGTTCGTTCAAACATGATATTGTATGGGTCATTTTAATTTCACATTTTTATTTATCAGAAATTGTAAAGTTTTCCTTCCATTTACTCTGTAGTAGATCTAATTTTTCTGCCTTCAACTGTGTCAGTCTGTCCACATCTTTTATTTTCATAGAATCAGTAAAATCTGTTCGTTTGAGAAAGCCAGCTGATTGAATGTTGTCAGATTTCAGATCCTTCCATACAGTAATCCTAAATTCAAAGATAAAACTAAAAATTGAGAATTTGTTGAAAGTTTGAAAAAATTTTTATTACTTTAATAAAGTTTTAACACTAAATAATAGTATTATATCAATAGGCCTCTCAATTTGATCTGTTGCAGCAAGCTTTCCACAATTTCCAACGTGCCTAAAGCTAATCCTTTTGGCTGTTTTCTTCTTTTTTTCTGCATAATTAAGGGAAGAGTTCAATTTTCAAGGGATGCTTTTTCACTGAACGCATTGAGTGGTCGACCTTTTGGTGACCTGCCAGTATCGTGTGCATGAATTGTTCGCAAAAACGACGATTACATCATTGGCTATTAAAATATTCCTTCAATAAAAATTTTATTTCAACCAATATTTGATTCATTCTTTCTAAACCAAAAATAAAATTTAATTTACGCTAACGATTTCAAAAAACGATGCCATTATTCGCTTCTATGCGTGTGTATGTGTATGTGTGTACGTGTATGTGTGCGTGTGTGTGCGCGTTTGTGTACGTGTATGTTGCGTGTGTGTGTATATGTACGTGTGTGTGTATGTGTGTGTGTGCGTGTGTGTGTCTGTGTACGCATCAGGAATGTGTGGGGATGAATGAAAGTAGTAAGTGAAGATTAGGTGGGAAGATGGTATTGATGATCGAAGAAGCTCTGTTAAAATGCTTTAAAAGACGGAATTCAAATTCTTTCTTTATAATGCCTCCATTGCGCTCCATTCCTTCATAATTAGTTTAGAAATGTTTATCCAAATTCTATGATCGATTCAACTTTTGACCCCTGACCTTTGTGTCTTCTTTCCATGTTGCTTATTCAATTTAGTTTACTGTTTTTTGTTATTTTAACAATTGTAAAATGCATTCGTGATTATTCTATTCAATATCATTTTCAATGTTTGAATAAACGAAATGGGGACAATTTTTGGTTTTTCCTCAATCAGAGGAGACAGTGCCCACACGCAATGGAACAAGTTTATAGCGGAGATTGTGATAGACCAAACGGTGAAGAATTGGAGAGAGAAAGGGTAATGGATGGATAGTCGGAAAAGATGAAAAGTAAAGGAATAGAATGAGATTAGTTGTGATACAAAATTTCATTCCATTTTAATACTCTTAAACTTTTTCTCGAATATTGACAATCCGATTGACCGACGATCGATGGTCATACCATCCTCACTAGCAGTAGTAGTAGTAGTAGTAATAGTAAGAGTTAATAGTTCTTATAATTTGCTAAATAAACATTTTCACTTATTTTTGTTTCATATTTCAAAATACTGCAGCAAAGTTTCCCTTCAAGAGATATTAAAGATAATCGCGGTAAGATGGGAATAGGTTATGGGGAATTTATCGAGATGATCGCGGTAGGACGGAGGATAGATTCTGAGAGATTCCGGATTCCAGTTATTTCGTTTTGAAAATGTTCTAATTTTTTCATAAAAAAGAGGAAAGGGAAGAAAAAAAAACAAATAGAAATTAGAAATGAGTCTGTGAGATGGATATACTGATCTTTTGCTTTTCCATTTCTCTAATTGCAATCACTTGAGAAGATGCCTTTATGTTTGTTAAGAAACATACACACACATACACACATGCACTCACATACATGACATACATACACATACACATACAGACACACATATAGATTCTTCCAATCTCTCTCCTTCGTCTGAATTGTTCTGTTTTTTTTTTCTTTTTTCTTGGTGATCTTTAACGACTTTTTTTCAACTTAAATTTCTCTTTCTATTCTTTACCATAGGAGATTGTTAACTGTTTTAACAAAAAATGAATTGACAGACGAGAAATTGAATATCTTGCAATCGTATCTCTTCCCCGTCTTGTACCAAACCCGGGATATACCACAGGTTTTCACGGGATTCATAAGATCTATTATATCCTCTGGTGAAACTGTCCAAAGGAGAGAGCGAAAGACAGAGGGAAAGGGAGAGAAAGAGGGAGAGAGAGGGGAAGGGAAGAAATTTAAAAGACTTAGGCAAATTTGCAAACTTTTTTTTTCTACCACTATTATAAAATTGATTTGAGGTAAAGAGGGATAAACGATACATTTAATGATAGATCAAATGATGGTGAAAGTTACGACATATTTTATTGTCTTTTTCCCGCATTATTCTGTTGTAACAATCACAAACTTTGATGATATCTATTATAATTATACGGACCAAGTTTACGTTGTTTGAGTGTCATCATTACTCTCACGTGCTCTTAGTTCTTAGATCTAAGGAAAGGAAAGTGTCACCAAGAATATGTCTTTTTAGATGTCACCGAAAATGTGTCGTTTTAGATTCATACAAAATTAAATTTCTCTCAAATCTTCTACGTATCGTTTCAGAGGAGTTTTTTTACTTAAAATGATTTCAGGATTGGTTAAATTTGTACATTAAATCCGGAATATATTATTGTTTTTACCCGAGTTCTTATATAGATTTTTTCAAATTCTTTCTCAAATAAATATAGAAATAGTTCTTGTTAGAGTGGTTTTCATTATTGGTTTACTGCCTGTCATTTATAATGATTATAACGGTGTCCCAGTTTTAGTGACATTGATGATAGCGATCGTGACAGCAGTTGTACTGATAATAAAGATGATGACTAAGTGATGGTGACATTTAAAGCGACAATAATAGTAGTGACAATGATAATGGGAGTATCACTTTTCTGGACGAATAACAGCGGTGATAACATTGCTAGTCAGTGATGACGATAGCAGTAGCAGCAGTGATCCAATGAAAAATAAGTACACCAGAACATGGTGGCAAGATGACAACAGCGCCAGGGGAAAGAGGGTAAGGGTATACCCCAAATAATGGGTCTATATGTATGGATGGGGATCTTGAACAGTGGGAGTGGAATATTGTCGTCGTCAACAGTAAGAGCGAAAGTGGAAGCGGGAAAACCTCAGGTCAAGATGGAAAAGAAGGATGTGGTCCAGTGCATGACAGGAGTTCGGTGGTTCGATCGATCCACTTGATGTGGTGCATTCTAACCCACCTTCTGCTTTCTGATGATATATGTATATATATTTATCATATATCATATCACATTAATCATCCACCACTTCCCAGTTCTGTTTATCCACGTCTAATTTGCGCCACCTTATCTGCTTCCCTCCTTCCTGTCCTTTTCGGTTCGTCCGTGTCTTTGCTAAGTTCAATATCTCTCATCGAAGTGATTGCTCGTTCCTTTTTTGCTTCCTCTAATTTCCGTTCAGCGGGCGCAATTTTTCATTTTCTGCTCAAAATAAAAAGCGGAAATTTGAGACAGTTACAATGATTTATTGATTGGGGCACAGGCAGACAGACGAATAGCGAAACGTATTATCATTTGGAGAGAGGAGAAGCAATAGACGGAAGAGAAAGGACGAGAGAGAGAAAACGAGCGGCACTAAGGGCTTCAACAATTTGGTAATTAACGAAAACAGCGCTTCAAAAAGCGGGTCGATAATTGATTGTAATTCATTCTCAGTAATCCCATGATATGAGCAATGGATGCTGGAAACCTCACTGTTCGGGATATCTCAGGAATCGCTGCTTCCAAGTTCTTCTGTCACTAACAGTGATTCATGTGAATCTATGGGAAAGAAGAAACAAAAGTCGACAAATCTTTCGACATCGTTTCATGATAAAACTCTTCCTGATGATAATATGGGAGGAAGAGGATGTTTCTATCGGGCATTTCTCCTGGATGGGAAAAAGCGGGAGAGAGGGAGGGTGAATGCATATGATATGATTTCGTTTTCTTTCAAACCAAATCATGTACTCTTGACAAATGTTTATCGTTGTTGTATTGCCGATTGAAGAGAAGAGAGGAACAGAGAGAAAGATTGGGAGGAAATGGAGAAAAAAAAGGATGGAAATGGACGATGTTAGAAAGAAATGAAATGCCCAGATAGAACGAGAAATATTTTACTAGACCTTTTAGTGATAGATAGAAAGGAAGGAAGGGAGGAGGAAATGCGGGAAGAGAAGCGGGGGAGAATGAATGAAGGAAGGAAGGGAAGAAGGAAAGAAGGAAGGAAGGACGGAAGGACGGAAGGAGGAAAAGGAATGAACGGAGTGGTTAGAAAGGGTGGAGAATTTTGGTTGAGATCGCAAAAATGTATTAGTTTCGATAACAGAACCAAATGTGTACCGATCACGCCATTTCACATCCTTCGCCGCCACTATCATCGTCACACTTTGCACTCTTTCTTTTTTCTTGAAACATTTCCATGCTTTCATTTTATCATCTATGTCCTTTTCATGCTTCCACATTCTTCTCTTATCACTTTATCACTACTAACAATCATACTAATGGTTAGTTAGTATTTGAGGAAAGTAACATAGATGATGATAACAGTATTGAAGGTCATATTCAAACTGACCCGTTCTTATTGTCATATTAGCATCCCGAAAAGGTCATTGTCTCATAAGCTGTATGCAATTATTCATATCCTCCCTTTTTTTCCTTTCCCACTCTTTCTCTTCTTCCTATCACTTTGATAAAAAGTTTGTTTTTTCTTTTGGTTGTCTGTTACCAAATTACTTTTGTATGATATTACCACCACTATCCTTTCTCTAGTTCTCTTCCGTTAACCTCACCTTTTCTTTGTCATTGAAGATAGCATTTCATACTGTTGTTGTGCTTATCATTTGATGAATGAATGAAGCGGAAGCTTTAACCTATCTATGAAAAGAAATATCAGAAATGAAAAAGAAAATACCGAGTAATTTGATTACTGGAATATGTTTACATGATGATTCATTATAGCAATATACGGAATATGTGTATGTGTATATGATACGTGGAAGTCTTTGGAAAATGGGTTCATTCCCTGACATTGTTTATCAGATTGAGAAGAGCGGGGAGTAGCGGGAACAATTCCAATGGCTAAAAGAGAGAAAGAGGGAGGGAGAGAGAGAAAGCGGGATGGGTGATGACATGGAGATTTGATGGAATGTAGAGAATGTGAACTGTTTTGGATGGAAAACGGAATTTCGTGATTTGTTTTATTTTTACTTTTTTTTGTGTTTGTTTCTCGAAACAAAATTAGAAGTAATTTAGTAATAATATTTAATCGGTTATCGGCAAAACTAATGCTTGCATTTTAATTCATTTCTATGCATTATCATCTCTTCATGGCATATTTAAAGTACGTACGATAAGCCATCCAATCATGTTTTTGTATCAGTCAATTGAACCTGATGATCCAGTTATTGTTTAGATTTTATGGAAATGACAGAGGAACTACACTTGAGTATTTTTATTTTTAGCAACTAAACTAGTAAAAGAAGAACTAAGACTTCTCGGCTGTCCTTTTAAGAGCTTCTGGAAGATCGTTGCAGTGAAACTGTTCCGTACTTTCCAGCCGAAAATTTTGCAAATATCCAAAGGTTATAACGTCTCAAAATCGGTGGGAGATTCGTTCACAATAATGGCATCACAGCTCAACTAACATCTAATTGTAGTACAAGTGTTATTTGCATCTAATGGCTGGAGGCGGGAGAAGTAATGAATGAAAAAAATAACATGCCGTGAATGAATTCTGCTTTTCCGTTCTGACAAGCTAAATATACAGATACGACAATGATATGGTATAACAGGCATTCCAAGCTGTTGCAATTTGTTCGCATTCTTGGAATTGTTTGACGTTGCCTTTTGCCAATGTTGTCGTATAGATTGCTAAATGGCGGAAGAACTGGTGAAAGGAAGAGATGGACAAGAGGACATGTCATTACCACATGGGTGGCAAGTTATTATCATGTGAAGAACGACGGTGAATTGTCGAGCTAGCTGCAATCATTACTATTACTCAACCCTTGAATGGGGAAGGATGTCATCATTGTTAACAGTAATTTGCTTTGTCACCTTTTAAATTTTGCATAAAAATATGGCCGCTTTTTTTTAAATTAAATTTCTGCTTCCATTCGTTTCCCAAATATAAAAGATTGATAGAATATCGAAATTTGAGAAATCCCGGTCCTTTAAATTGTCGGTACTCAATGCAAACATTGAGTCAGATGATTTCTGGAGCATCTTATTATGATTTCATGCGTAACTGTTTTAGCATAAAATTCATTAGTGTTTGTGAATTTACGAAATAGCTTGATTTCAACAGTGCGACGGTGTGATGTAATGGTAGTGATATAGTGATGTGACAGATTTGTATCTGAAATCCGCAGGAAGAGCGGCTAATCCGAAGAGTTACTACATTTACAAACTTCCGTTTAAAGTTTATTGCGACAACCAGACAGCAGTTTTTACCGGACACTAATCAAATAATCGAGTCGATGATATCACCACAACCATGATTATTCCTATCATTATCACTATTACTGTCACTATATCCGTACAATACATGCATATTTTTTTGCATGCACACGAGATGCGTAATACACATACATGCAGGCGCAGTGATCTGTTCTCTAGTTCGAGAACTCTTTTCATTCCAATCCAAATTTTGTTTTTTTCCATTTATATATTCAATTACTCAACCTATCAATCGTTAAATGAACCTATACCTTTTCCATCTTGTCTTACTAAGGCCTAGGACAGTTCGAATCTTGCTTACCACTTACCACTTCCCTGTACAACTACTTGTTAATTTATGACCTCAGTTCGCTCTCATATTCTCTCCTTTCAGCTTCTAATCCATTAAATCATGGGCATAATCATCGGTAATGGGTTACGTTCGTTCATTTGCGCTCCTCAGATTCCATGAATCACCTCGTTGTCCCGTCTAATCATTGGTTCACTCACGAACAGCAACAAAAGCGTATTCCTTCCAAATTTAGTAAGCTTTTCTATCCAAAGATCGTGTCAGCAAATAACGGTGCAAACAAAAGATGCACAGATGAATCAGCATGGCACAGTGTCCACCCGTGGGCTAAAGGATGGAATCGAACGTGGCAAATGCCCACCTTCTCACATTACCGCCCACCCTTTCTTTACCTCCTCCTCCGCAGTGTTAACAGTTCATTTTCAACTTTTTGTCATTAGTTTTGTTGATCTTTTTGACGATTCAACACTCTTCGCTTACTTTTTCTAATATCTTCTATGGAGAAAGAAGGAGAGAGAAAGAGAAAAAAAATGTATTTCATTTGTTTGGTAATACTTTTGGAATGCAGAGGGGCGCTTTGATCAGGATGATATCGTTCCCGACATACTCGATTCATTCGTAAGGATATTAACTAGGCTTTTTCTATCTCCTTTATATTACCAAATGGGAAAATCCTTTCTTTTTCGGTAGGATAACGAAGGGCATCTTTGTCCTCTTACCACGATACCGTCTGTAATGGCTAAACATTGGAAAGCTCATTCCAAGGATTTGATGGTTTTTTTGACAGTGTCGTAAAACAATTTCTTCCCGAATACATTAGCATTCAACATCGTCACTGAATGTAACAGAAATAAAGGACATCTTGATGTGGCATGGTTCTCCAATTTATAGTAATTCGGCGAGATTCTGTCCTTTAATACAATGGGAAAACTCTAAATAATTTTTCGTGATTGATCGTGATTAATATAAGAGTAAGCAGGATACCTGGGAATGGATAGCAAAACTATAGTAATGAGCTCTCTCTCTCCATTGGCTTATTAATGTATATCCATGATTAATTTGGATTCTTCATTGAAAGGTAATGAGATTGCGAGTGAGTTCAGGTGTTCTCATTTATGGCACGGGTAAAAGGTCAACGGTGAGTTCTTCCAGAAATGATATCAGTTTTGGATGTTTTTCGGGAAGGATCTTACCATAGTGGTTTTTACAAAAGTAACACCCAAGAATACCTTTGCTTAACACATTGCATTCATTCTGATCCTGATCAGCATACAATGAATGCCTGATGCAAGTGGAACTGTTACACAAATTCAGTTTGTGTCATTGAATGATATGCAGCCAATTGAGCTTAACTTTATCTGATCACGAGGCACAAAAGAGAGGAAGCTAAATCTGATACTGTATTAAGCTGGGAATTACCATAATAGTTTGGCTAATTAGGCAACTTTTCAATCAGATATATGTATATA